CCCCCAGAGTTGCCTTGGTTTTATATACAGTAGCTGTTGTAGATCCTATGTAAAAGCCTGTCAAAGCACCTTGTGAAGCCCAAGGATAAACACCAGTAGTGTGGTGACACTGAAGGGGAATGCAGCAGCTGCTAAGTGCTCGGCAATAGTTGATGAATGTGCATGCAGCCTTGATAATAAATAGGGAGATTTATGTGAAGCGTGCTACTTAACACTTGGTCAACAAACGGATCATCTTTTTGCAGAAAGCACTCTCTGGAGGGAGTAAATAAAGACTGCGAACTGGCAGCTCTGTCAGAGCAAGGGCTGGACCCTGTGGATACTGTGACTAAGTTCCTCCTCTACCTTGGTGGGTCCTGCACTTATTGGCGGATTTTCTCGCCTCACAGATTCACCATGTGGGTTGGGAAACAGCTCTGAGACCTTCGCCTCTGGTAGAAGCCACAGTCCAGGTCAATTCCTCCTGTGTCTGATCAGGAGTTGGGAGGTTTGGGGGGAACCCGGGCCCGCCCTCTACTCCGGGTTCCAGCCCAGGGTCCTGTGGACTGCAGCTGTCTAGACTCCCTGGGCTACTTCCCCATAGCCTCCTCTCAACACCACCTTTATCCTCACCACAGGACCTTTCTTCCAGCAGTATGTCTTCTCACACTCAGCTCCTAGTGCCTCTTGCTCCGAGCTCCTCGCATGCACACCACAAACTGAAGTGAGGTCCTTTTTAAACTCAGGTGCCCTGATTAGCTAGCCTGTCCTAATTGATTCTAGCAGTTTCTTAATTGGCTCCAGGTGTCTTAATTATCCTGCCTGTCTTAAGTGGTTCTAGCAGGTTCCTGATTACTCTAGTCCAGCCCCTGCTCTGGTCACTCAGGGACCAGAAAACTACTCATCCAGTGACCAGTATATTTGCCCTCTACCAGACTCCTGTACCCCATTGGTCTGGGTCTGTCACAATACTTAAAAAGAAGAAATTGTTTCATCTGTGGAATGCAGGTTTCTGTTCTCTCAATCTGTGGGCTGGTCTTAATGCTTGGGATAAAAATCCAAAATAGCTTCTGATGATTTAGGTGTTCAAGTTGCGTCTTGGCCATATTGAGCTGGGAGTGGAATGCTTGAAGAGAGCTGCCAACGATTTCAGTCTTTTCTTACTGGTTGCTCGTTTAGGACCTTTCTTTAGAAGACACTGGTGGTCCTGAAATATTGAGGTTGGTGTGCCAAAGTGCTTTGAACATGGATAGGTCGGGATATATCAGATGATATAACTTGTGTCATTCTTTTTCGGTTTACTTCCTTCTTCCCCTGCTATAATTCTGGTGTAACTTTAGAAGCTGAAATCTCTTGAGGCACTAGTGTTACAATACTGCTTGCCACTTGAGAGCTGGGTACTGAGCATTTCAAAGGGTGAAACATTTAACACTGTTTCTAGCTCGAGAAGTTGTTGTGGTAGCAGCCTCTGAAACTATCAGAAATGAGATTGGTGTGTTTCGATTGTGAGCTTCTCCTTGTCTTTTCATGTGTCTTTAAAGTGCTGAATAAACCTGTGGCCCTCAGTGAATAAATTGTGTGGGTTGTAAGGAAGGTAATTGAGTGACATGATTTTTATGGTCTGTTTGTGTGCATCCTGCCAAAGTTGGGAAGAGTTGCTAGTGTAAATACTGGTGGGAATCCTAGTAGTTCATGGCTGAATATTTTTAAATTTTTGAAGCATTTCTGTTTCTGGGTGCATATGCAAAAATTAAAGATACTTTTAAAACGGGTGAACATCATTTAAACGTCAGTAGATTCAACCCTGACAGTATCAAGTCTCAAACTTCAAGCCAATGTACGGTAAATCTCATTACCTGGGATTGTATAGCATGAAGAAAAATTCAGCTACATTTGCAAATATCTGTTTCCCTTCCCATTTATGAAACCATGACATAGAGACCAGTGGAGACTGGGAGAAAGTAGCAGTGGGAGAAGTATTCTTGTCTCTTTTTAGTTTGTGCTAGTGGTAGTGGCTTTCATTCTTATCAGGTATATGTATTCATTTACACTTTACTAGTGTAACTCAGAATCTTTTTATAACCTTGGTCAGACACAAGTCCTGGCTTCTATGTATAGAGAGGCTCCATTTATAGTGATGTAAAATCCCCAGCGGAAAGTCCTACGTAGTTTTCAATGCTGCAGTATCCTCTCAAGTGAAGCTTTCCAATCACAGACTGTCGCTATGCAGGTATCTCTTGTAATACTATCGCTTTCTGTCTTTGGATTTTGTAACGGATAAAGTCCAGAGTTGTAGAAATTGATGATCGCAACGTGAAGAGATGTGGAATGAAAACAGTGAAGGACTCATAGAATACCATTATGTCTGTGCTCTCGCAGGTCTTCAGTGATGCTCCCGTCGGGTGTTGATGCTTGACAGGTGTGGCACGTAACCAGTTTGTAACCGTAAATATTGGTGAATCATAGAGATCAGCACTTATTGGTAATTTACTCCACCTTTTTCTGCCAACCTATACATTTTAAGAATCCATAGTTCTTGTATTCCAGAGCCTCAAAGTGCATTCCAGACATGAATTTAGCCTCGACACCTCCCTGTTAAGTAGGACCATGTTATCCCCATTTTACAGATGAGAAAACTCAGACAGAAGTGAAGTAACTTGACCAGAAAGTTTGTGGCAGAAGCAGGAATGGAGAATTGGTGGTGAAAAGGACAGAGGGGAAGGAAAAGCTCTCATATGAAAAGAGACGGAAAATATTGGTATTGCTTATCTTAGAAAGTAGATGAGTAAGAAGCATAATAATATAGAGCAGTGGTCCCCAACCTTTTCCGTGGGGCGGGCGCCGGACGACTAGCCGCTGAGGACCGTGGCCGCCGGACAAGCAGCCGCCGAAATGCCGCCGTGAAGCAATAACGTCAAGAGGTGTTGCCGCCGAAATGCCGCCGAAATTTGTGAAGCGGCAACGTCAAGAGGCGTTGCCACCATGAAGCAGCGTCATCAAGAGGCGTTGCCGCTGAAATGCCGCTGAAATTCGGCGGCATTTCGATGGTAGCGCTTCTTGACGTTGCCGCTTCTCGGCGGCATTTCGGCAGCTGCTTTTCCGGCAGCCAATAGGCGGGCGCACATGGATGTCCCAGCGGGCACCATGGCGCCCCTGGGCACCGCGTTGGGGACCCCTGATATAGAGTGAGCAGTGTAGGGAAGGTAAATTGGGAACTTTCATTCTCCGTCTGGGAACACAAGGACAAGGGGTGGTCAGTGAAACTAAAGTGGGGGAGACTGAAAACCAAAAAAAGGAAATACACGGTGGAACTCTCTGCCACAGAATGTTGTTCATTCCAGAAGCTTAGTAAGATTAAAAAAGGGCCTGGATATTGACCTGGATCCCAGAAGCCAGAGTTGTTATAAATAATGCTAACATCTGTTTTGGAAGGGATATTAAACCTCATGCTTCAGGGTTTAAACCAATCTCTATCGATTAGAGATTAGGAGACCACCTAATGTGAAGGTCAGATTATCCCACATCTGCCTTAATGTGAGGTTACTTGCACCTTCCTCTGCAGCATGTGATGCTGGCCACTGTCAGAGACAGATACGGGACTAGCTGGACCGTGGATCCAGTCTGGCAGTTCCCATGTAGAACTGAGTCCCAGTCTTGTGCTTTAGCTATGAGACCATCCTTCGCCTATTTTGAAACGTAGTGCATTCTAGTTGTTCACGAAAGCTGTTCCAGCAAAGAGAGAATGTATGCTAAGCATGTGCTGTCCTGTAGCTCCTAGTAAAAAAAAGAGCAGCTGGAACGGTTGTAGTGAGCTCGGATATCGAGAAACTCTATTTATAGTCCAGCAGGGTAAAAGCACCAAACGCTCCCATTGTACAACGAGCAGTTCTGTAGTGAACCTGTGCAGCGTGGGGGAAATGGTTCTGCTCACGCTGTCCCTGTCGCTTTCAATGTGACTGAAATCTGGGTTTGACTCAGTTAATAGTTTGATCACTCACTGATCCTCCTTCAAATCCCTCAAGACTCATTTCTACTGTGCTGCCTACAGCATCCTGCCAGCTGATAATAGATAGGCAGGTGGTCAGCTGCGATTACGACTTCCAATAACACATACACTAACACGTGGGCACACGCGCACACAACCCCCCCCCTACAAACTTTGCGAATGCACCTAAGCTCTGCAAAAACATGCCTCAATTTCTGCCGGCCTGTCCTCTTTTCCTGCTTGTTTCACTCGCTTGTTTTGTCATAAATAAGATACTAGGCTGGGATTTCAACGGAGCCCGAGGGAGTCAGGATCCAAATCCCGTAGAATTTCCCTGAAATTTCAGCATTTAACTCTCTTGCGACTCCTTTTGAAAAATCCGAGCTGTAAACTCTCTGGTGCAGGGGCCCAGCTCTGACTATGCATATGTACAGCACCTGGCACGAAGCGGCTCTGACAAAGTTGTGGTGTCTGGGCACTAGTATGTTGCAAATAATAATCAGTCTATTAATGGGAAGAAGACTCATGATTTTAACAGCCATTAATAACAGTTGCCCGTTAATAGTCAATATTCTTTTTCATGGTGGCCAGCTGCTAGCTTTTTGTTTCCCCCGATTCAGTGACCACAAAAAGGCCCTGTATGTTTCTCTCCTTTTTCTAGGAGCAGGGAGCTAATGGAAATGTCCAGCTTTGTCTCACTATGTGAACTCCCCTGCCCAACCCCCCCCCCCCCCAAAAAAACCCTTTGTACCCTTTTACAGCTTTGTTTTCAGCCAAGCCGAACATACTCAACAGATGCAGGGTTTTAAATATAGAAAGCAGGTGTCTGCAGTGAAAGAGAAGTTCCTCAGTGCTTATCTGAAGTGCAGAGGGGCTTTCACCGGATACTCCTTTCAAAACAACCCCGTCAGAGCTGCTGCATCCTGACGGGGGCGATTTGGGCAAGCCTGTGTGATGTGACGGGTTATTAATAGCCCTCGGAAACGTGATACTCAGCTACTTCACTTCCCGAGAGGACAGTGGGGATCTGCTCCTCATCAGGTCGCTTCCTCCGGGAAGGTTTTAAAAGGAGGAGACTAGAAGAACTTAGCACTTTGGCTGCAGGACACTGTGTCCACCTCCTCACTTCCAGCGTACAAGGAAGGAGTTTGTCATCCTGACACCCAGGGCTGGCGTGCTAGCGTCCTCGCTTTGGGTAAGATTTCAGAAGCATTTCCAGGCGCTGAGCTCGCTGCAGCGAGACTGGGAAAGACGTCTCTCGAAGCTCGGGGCTTCAGGCAGTAAGGGGACCCTCTCCCTAGAAATTCAACTTCACTGAGCCCCGCGGATGCTGCGGGGAACCACACCGTGCAATAGTGGCGGTTCTTTGGGGAAAACGTGAGGTGAGCTGCTTCTCTTCCTGACTCGGGCCGTAACATGGGAAGCAGTAGCTACCTGCGACTCTCTTAGAGGTCACTGGAAAACTCTGCTGATTTACTCAGGGTGAGGACTTTCACACAGACAAGCTGACTGACTTAAGTCATCTACATTTATTGAGGGGTTCTCGGCGTTTCTGCAGCAGCATCGCTCCCCGGTATCTGTTGGAGGTGAATGGGCTAGATTGTCGTTCTGAAACCTGTCAGGGGCCTAGACGTTTTAGAGGGAAGATCGCCAAGACTGTAACTTGAAGGCATAGCGTTTCTTTCCAGTCTATCCTTTGTAGTAAGGGGGGATAGAGTTCTCGTTAAGACGCATGGCGCACTGATTTGTTATGGGTTTGATTTTTTTAATGTAAGTCACTGGGTGCCCTTTGAGGGATCACCAGTACAAATGGAGTATGTTCTTAGCTCCCCTTTTACATTGCTCTCCTGCAGATTCTCGTTCCTCCCCATCCCAGATTGGTGTAGGCATAAGCAATGAACGAGGAATGCAGTTCCTCTGCAGACATGCAGTTCCTCTGTGCCGGTTTAGGAAACTTCCCTCTTAGCATTTGGAAAACTAGCTGGACAAAGGAGAGACTTCCTCCTGCTCCTCCCAGGCTGGTAGCTCCAGGGAGCAAGAGGATAGCCTGCACATCTAGTCTAACTTTATGTTGTACAGTGATAAGTTCAGACATGGGATCATCGATTGTGCTGGAATGCTTCAGACTGCTGACAGTTCTCACAGAGTGTGGTATCTAGTTGGCCTTGTCTGGTTTCCACGTACTGCCCTCAGAGGGTAAAACCCCAACAGCCTTACATTAGCGCAAAGGAATTCACACAAAGTAAGTTTCCCAGGCAGGGAACCAAATTTCCACTAAGGTTCTGTGGAGAGTGGGGGTGAGAAGCCATGTGGACCATTGGACTGGGGCAGGAGTTGAGGGTGGGGGTTCTAACCTGCACTGCCTCTGACTCGCTGTGTGGAAATTGGCTAGTCAGTTAACCTCAGCCTGTTATCCCCATTTCACAGATGGGTAAATCCATCATTACTCATAGGAGCAGTGCCCTGAATTATCAGTTGTTATTTGTGCACTGACTTGAACGTGCCAAGTGCTGCATAAACATGACACAGTTTTAGAGGTCCATGTTGCGCCACATCAAGATGGTTTGCCTCATCAGAGGGTTTGCAGGGCAGGGCAAGGATCTCCTCCTGTTGTGTCATTACACTGGGGAGACTGGACAAACTGTGGGGCACACCCACAAACCCCAGAGGTCGCTTGCCCTGAGGTTCTCCTCCTTGGGAGGGGATCTGTCCAATTATTATTCATCAGCAAAGATGCTTTGCTATTATGTCTCCATCTGCGAGAACTCCAGCTCAGATAAGGACTGCCTCGCACAATGAGTGAAAAAGCATTGCCATTTGGTCCTCTCCCCCCACTCTTTATACTTGCTGCCCATTTCAGTGTTGCTGCCATGTGTCATCTTCCGCCAAGTGGATGGTTTGACTCGCCTGCTGAAGGTGGCTATGTAAGTGTCGCGGGAGGGCTCACAAGTGGTGGCCTTCTTAGGAAAATCTGCTGTGTCTCCATGTCAGTTTATTTTTCTGTCCACTTGAGACTTGCTGGGCCGGAGCGTGGGCGGGGTGTTGGGGAGCATTGCTAGGATACTTCCTGCCGTGGAGAGCCACAGCAATTTTCAAAGGGCTGTTGCTGAAACTAGGGGCCTACGTTTGGATTTGGGGGTCTGGGGTCAGGCCCATTAATGGGAAAACTTGGCCCTGACTGAGTCGCCACAGAGCCTAGGTAAGAGAGGAGGGATAGGCTTGTGGTTCAGGCACGGGATTAGGACTCGAGGGAGCTGACTGTCCGATTTTTCAAGAGAGCTCAGATTTCCAGAACTGTTCATCGCCCAACGTGCGGAGCTGCCTTGACAGTCTGGCCCTTCATCTTTCTGTGCTTGGGTTCCCCCTCTTTAAAATGGGGATGATTGTATTTCCTTTCTCTCCCTCCCCCGCCCCCCCCTTCATCTTGTCCGTCTCTGCAGGCGGAGACGAGCTGTTAATGTGTGTTTACACTGTGCAGAGTGCAGTGGGGCCCTCGTCTTGCTTGGGGTCTTCAGGTACTGCATAATTCTAATAATAATGGGTACGTAGCTCCCAGTGACAACAGGAATTGCTTTTAGCTCTCTTTCCCGCAGTTGGACAGCCCATCACCCTCTCCCTCCATCTTTAACCCCTTCATGGATGTTTGTCAGCAGTCTTCAGAGGCATCCGCTAAATTGAAAGAATAACAGGGGATGCTGGATAATGCGGCATTAGCATGGTCTCTCGTGTAGTGTAAAAGATAGAGAGGAGGGCACTGAGTGAGTTACGCCTCTGATAGCAGCCTCCTCCCTCAGGTGTGCTGTGAAGCGCTGTGACAGTTCCAGTTGCTTTTTTGTGCTGCGTCTACACCAAGAGAGAACCAAACAAAGATGTTGCTCTGCTCAGCTGCCTCCCGTTTCAGTTTACTTATGTGCTTATGTTCTATTTTGAGTCTCCGGCCACGCAGAGCTAAGCAGCCTGTGACCTGGGGAAGGTGTGAGTTTCAAAACAAGAGTCTGCTAGTGGCTGAGTGGGGTGATCAAATGGGGAAGCTGCCTCCAGCCGGGATGGTGGGGAGCGTCTCCTTCAGCCAGGCAGGTTGTAGACCACATGCTGGATATCCTCGAGTCCTAGAAATTAGGGAGCTCCTCCATTTCTCCCACGTTCACAATCTCCTGACTGTCCACAATTGTTCCATGCGGAATATACACAAGGGCTCTGTCTAGTTTCAGGGTCTTGAGCAGCAGTGGCTTAAATGAGGGGCCATTGAAGCTGGCTGTTCTTTAACAATGTGTTTTACTGTGAAATGCACAAGAAAATCCTCCCTCACAGGAGTGAGCTGCTCTAAAGGCTGCCTGAAAAATGCTCCAGATTCTCTCTCTCTCTGAAATGAGTCAGATTCAAGAGGTCACTGAAGCACTGGGGTTTTTACCAGTTCTCTTGGGAGACTGCTCCACAGCCAGAAATTTCCCCATGGGAAGGGATTTCAGCTCCATTTTTCTTTTCTTTAATCTTCTCCCATTACTGTTCGATAGACCCCTATGGACCGACCTCCCTCATCGATTTTACAGCTTTCCAATACAGGTGGGCAGCTGTTGTGTGCTGCCTCTTATGTACCCCAAGACCTGGGTGTCTGGAGCGGCTGTACCTGTCAGCAGTGATTATGGAGTTCTCATCAAACCCGGTTCCCGAAACTTCCTGCATCCATCACGTATCTATACTTCAACAGGGAAAGGCTGGTTATAACTGCTTTGCACTCTCCCTTCCCCAGGATGGCTATTGCTGACGTATGTCTCTGGCATATTCCTCACGCCCCTTCTTACAGCCTGGATGTTTCACGTTGCTGCTGCCAGTTTACTTATTTGCACACAGCGACGCTCTCTGTGCTGTCAGTCTACCTCTCAGGCACTAATAGCTTTATTAATAGGTTTCCAGCTCCTCAGGAGGCTTCTAAGTGGAATGCGCCTCTGATTTCATGCTTCAGGAACAGGCACCGACCGAAGAACCAAAAAAAAAGAGAGAGCGGCAAAGCTTAGTTGACCTAAGAGTATTAGAGGTGCATTTGCTTGACATTAACCATTGAGCGGTGTCCGTGTCATGTGGCTGCTTAGGGCAAGCTGACTGGTTACAAGCAGAGTGAGTTATTCAGGGCAGAAATCGCGTGTGGTTTCTCCTACCCTGCTGTGTTGTGTTTGCTTGGATACTTAGCAACTTAAAGGTAAGATACGGATAGACATTTCAGATACTCTTTTGGTCCCTGCGTGTGTGTAATAAATTGCATGCTGTTGCTTGGAAACATAGCCAGATGTGGCTATAAAGTCCCTAATCTCAGCTGTTTCGTTACAGAGGGTTAACAGCAAAATATCTTGATGCTGAAGGGTTTTTCTCAGTGACGGCCGGCTCAGATCAGCTTTAATTGTGGCAGATGGTACTTGCATTTGGAGGAACCAGTTCCACGTTTGTATTCCTAAGGTGGCACTTAGGGCAGCTCCTGTGTCTTGGCAGTGTGTCAGTGAGTGTGTGTTGTATTTGCCCAGCAGAAGGGGGAAGATAAGCACAGAGTTCTCCTTGTAACGTGGGTAAAATGGCTTTTAACCATTTCCCTTCTATCTCGGGCAGTAGGTGACTGCACTGAGCAGTGATTAGTTTTCTAGCCCATGAGCCTTGCAGGGACACGGCGCTGCACCAGCTGTTGACTGCACTTTTTGAAAGTGGTCGCTTCCAGCTTTCCAAGCCATAAATAAGGGGTGAGTGTGAGCTGCTTTCCTGCCATGGCTCGCACTGCTGACACTTCGTAATGACATCTCTCTTTAAATCGCATGTTGGTTGTTTTTAATCTCCTGCCTATCCTGTAAATCCAGGCAGAGATTACTCTCGCCTTCCTTCCCAGCTTTTTGTTAGCAGACTGTTACACACCAGCTTCCCAGCAAACCTGCCCTACTAAATCAGCTGCCAGCTGAAATGAATCCTCCTTCTTGGTTATGTTTATTTTCTTTCCCCCACTGCTTTCCCTCCCTCTGCTGCTTAGCTGTCCAATTGCAAACTGCCCCCTGAACCACAACCTAAATGTGCCTGGATGATCTCGAAGCAGAAATACATGGCACTCAGCAGGCACATTGTACAATTTTGATCTTCTGTGCTTTATAGTATCCCCTGGAAACACACACAAGTGGCTCTTTACAGCCCAAAGTGCTCTGTCTAGCTGGTGTCAATCAGCCAAAGCTGGGGGATGAGGTGAGGTGAAGTTATCTATCTGACCTCCATTGTCATGCTATCTGAGCACCTCACAATCTTTAATGTATTGATCTTCACCGTGCCCCTGTGTGAGATGGGGCTGTGCTGTTACCCCCATTGTACAGATGAGGAAACTGAGGCATGGAGGGACTTAGTGACTTGCCCACGG